CAAAGACACCAGTGATCAAAATGTAGCTGTGCCATTAAGTGACCTGAGGCAAAACACTTGGTTTCATCATCTGAAAAACGGCAGTAATATTACTAACCAAACAAGACATAAGAATTATACAAAAGAATGCCTATTTATTATTTGGCTTTTATAGGAAATCATAAAAGATGAATCATCTTTGGAGTTGCCTTCTACTTGTTTTTACCATACAGGTGGGTGGTGTGAGTTTTAAATGGGGAAAGTAGGAATAAGTATAGAATAGAGCAGTACAGAACATGTATAGAATGCCCTCATTATCTGATCTTCTCTGTAAGTTTGGGAGTTATAAGCATGTGACCTGTAATATAAAATATAAAACAAAATATTACCATAGGGATTCTCAGATAGGAGCATGGGGATGTTTGCCCTTTTCTTCCTGCTTTAAGAAATACTGCTTGGCTTGGCCTCTAGGAAAATGTTTCTTTTTCCTCCCTCCCCTTCATCTGCTGCTCATGTCCCTCCATCTGCCATATCTCATTGTATCTCATAGGTAAAGAGCCCCAGTTTGGCTCCCTTCCTTTGTGTCTCTTTCTGCCCATCAATATTCGCTTTTCTTATGTGAAAACACAAAGGAGGACAGACAAAAGGCTCTTTTTGCTATAGTCTGTATATCTGGTTCAGAAACCTCATGTTTTCTTCTCCTAAAAACATGGATCCTAACTTATTGTCCATGTTCCCAAGTTATTATGGTCCTATTTCCCTGGTTCTGTACACTGCTATTTATATTCTACTAAGAAGAATATATCTCAACGTTGAATATATCTCAACGATTCTTACATGTTGACCAGATGCGGGAACCACGGGCTTATGTCATGAGCACAACCTGCATTCGACTATTGCTTATACTCATTGCAGAGAGTATTTAAGTTCTGGTGGGTGTCCTTTTTATTCTTTTGTCTTTTTAAAATCATTTTTGAACAAACACATATTACTGATATATGGTAATTTGACATACCACCACAGCATCACATGCGGTGAGGTTAGAAGGGCAGGCAGTCTGGGAAAGGAATCCCAGATCCACTGCCAGTTGTCATATAGTCTTGGCAAGTTATATAACTTTTGTGAGTTTTGGATTTGTCTTCTATAAAAATGAAATAAAAATGATGAGATCATGCACAGAAAGCAGTTGAAATGTACTAACTGCTCAATAAATAAATATATCTTTCACTATGATCATCATTAAAGACAATAATACCAGTAACATTATAATGAAGTGCATGAGTGGTCAAGTTTATGTATCACGTATGTCGCAAAGCTCCAGAGATGCTCTTCTGCTTATAATTTTTAGTATGGAAGGGCCCTAATTTTTCCGTTTTCAAAATGATTTCCAATACATTTCGATTCAATATACATTGTTGATACCCCACAATGTAGAAGGTACTCCACTGTTTCAGGATATTTTTTAAGTAGAGTGATGATACCAGTTATCAATTCATCTATTAGGGAATGGATATCAGTATCTATTGAATACTTTTTAAAAATTAAATACTTTAAATTTTTATTCTGTATTGGCTTAAAACTTCAAATTGTATCTTTTAACATTATTTGAAAAATAATACATTATCACAAAATTAAGAGGCTGTGTTATTATGGACACACATTTAATTTTAGATTAAATTGCTTATAAAAAAAAACCATATTACCATATTGTGATGTCTGTATAGTTAATTGTAGAATCTCAATAGTGTTTTAATACAGAAATTTTCAAGTAATAATTCACCTACAGTAATAATATAATCCCTATATTTTACTCAGTGAAGCTTATGCCAATTATTTCTTGTTTATTTGTCTTAATCAGTGAAAGAAACCAATTTCTGTCCCTTTTATTATGTTTTTAATGCATGCAAAAGGCTATCATCTTCTCTATGTCTTTTTTTTAGAGTGAAATTTTCAGGTCTCATAACCTCTCACAGCTCGTGTTTTCGAGATCTTTTTATTATTTGTATTGTTCTCTACTGAATGCTTGGCAATTTGTCTTTTTTCTGAGATGTGGTATTCTGCTGAACTCCGTCCCCAAATCACAGCCTAACAAGACCTGAATGTAGCTCATCCGTTTTGATGTATGACATCACCATTACAATTCAACACACTGCAGCATTTGAATATATTAACAGGGATCAGAATGTGGACTCATTCAATTTATGATTCACTGTAATTCTTGAATTGTTCTCTCTCTGCTACTACCATCTCTAGCTTTGCAATGCACTTTTTTGTTCCATTACTTTTTCCAACACCAACTTTCACATCCATTCTATCTTCCTAAATCCAACCTCGCTGATTGGGCCTATCTCCCCAGCATATCAAGATTGGGCTGTAAAGTAGCACAGCACCCCAGATTCACAATCCCTGCTAACTTCCGTGACTCACTGTCCTTTAAATTTATTGGCATATATATGCTGCATCTCCCAAAATGTTTTATAAGTATCCTATTGCATTACCCCGGGAGGCTTTTCTTAAAGATGATTTTTAAGGTGTGAAAGAGTTAAACAAACAAACAAACGCAACTGACTGGTGTGTTTCTTCAGGCACATTTAAAAAGCAACCTTACCGTCCCCTTCATTGACTCAATTTAAGAAAGTTAAACTCAGCATCAACTACAGGATCACACTATTTTATTATTAAGCTGTCACTGAAAAAAATACAGGTTAAATCCCTGATCCTCACACACAGGTAGCTCAGAGAGTACCCTGTACCCTCACCACAGGAGGTCACTTGTCTATGCAGGGACGTGTCATATGGCTGGCTGAGCAAATCTTAGTAAACACAAAGTTAGTTCCACTCAACATGTTTACTTCTCTAGTTACAGAAGAAAGCAAAGGAAGAGAATATACAAATGATGAAGGAAAGAATGAAAGAACCTTCAAGTATTAGACCCAAATTTAGTTATTTTGCCATAAATAAGTGACAGAGTTATCAAAACTGAAATGAACTGATATCTCATACATAAACTTTCATGTATAAGGGAATTTTGGAAGTGATGGATTGTTCAAATTTACAAATCGAAATTTACTACACTCGTTAAACGAAACATTAATCCAAGTGCCTTCCTTCTGCTTGGAATCCCCATCCGCTCCCCAACCCCCTTAGGTACTCATTCACCTGCCCCTGCCTCCCACCTGTCCTTTGTATCCAACAGGATCCTGCTCATCCTCATGAGGGTGAATGTGATTCCTCCAAAGCAGTGGTCCCTCCCTTCTTGTTCACACTGTCATGTGCTTAGCTCTTGCTTCAAAGAACAACTATTTGTTTATAGAGATGTACTCTCTACTGATTTTGAGCTCTCCCTCTTCTCTTTGCTTTCTGGCCACCAGTTGGTATTGAGAATTGCTCAGTGAAATTTTGTTAAATAAATGAATTATTTAAAAAATAGCATTTTCCCAATAGCTGTACTTTTATGGGTTAAAAAGCAGCTGTCAGGTCTGAGAAAATGCATGTGTCTGTAGCAAAATGAAACAAACAAACAAAGACTAATCAAATAAAAAACAAAATGGCAGAGACCATGATCTTTAAATAGTATATTTTACCTTTTTTTCTCATATGTATTTATGATTATGTATCCTAATACAATTTTGGATGTATTGATTTTGGATACATTTTTATGTGTTCATCACCTAAGTACATGTGGTAGAATTGAAGAAGGTTGTAGGAATAAAGGAAAAGTTTTTGTTATAACATTTCCCAAGCTTAATTTAATAGTTTCCAGAAGACTTAGCAAAAAGGATAATCATTAGTAAAAGTTAATAAAGGAGAATGCTGTAGTTCTAGGGAAGACTGGTGACAGATTTAATCACTGTCTTTGAGTACATGATGGATCAACTGAGAGACGATAGTGGTAAAATATTTTCCTTCTTAGCTCAGGATAAGACCAGAAACAGTTAACTTAAAGAGTAAACAAGACAATGGTAAAGAAGGTGACAAATGACTTAGTAATGCAGTGAAAGATTTCTCTCACAGATTTGTAAAGCAGGATAGCTGTGCTTTGCTCTGGAGTTGGTTAGATACTACATTTAAACCTAAGTAACTTTTGACAAGACAAAAATCAATTTGTTCCTTAAGTAGGTTACACTCTGGTGGTTCTCTACATTCACCTAGAACAAGTCCCTTTCTCTGTTCTCAGGGAGTCATCCCAGCCACTGAGCTCGGGACAAGCCCATGGTGGCATGCAAAAGAGCATCATCTGAGTAAACTGTCCTCCAGCTCCTCACCTTTCTGATCGGACGCTCCTTAACACAGGGGCCAAAGACTGGGGAGGAGTGATTATAAATTGCCCAAAGTGTAATAAGAAATGGAACATAAAGGTCCTTGGAAATATAAAGATACTAAAAAGGTTTAAAAAACTAGGTGAAAAGATCATGATCTTCAATTTTTTTATGTTTAATATTCTTTTCATTAACATTAATAAGTGACATTTAGTATATTTTTATCAAAAGTAATTCTATTAAATGATTTTAACATCACATTATGTATTAAAATCCTGTGTTGTGAAATTCCAAGATAAGATACAAGTTTAAGGTCTCTGTGAAGGGTCACTAAAAGAGTAGATTTTTTCTATAACCTTTATGGGTTTTGGTTTTTAATATTAACATATGTTACACTACTTTACTTATGCCATATGCTTGCCGTTGTTTTATGAATACCACAACCTTTATAAAGAACCTTAGGCCTACATAAAATTATTTTATTCTCGCGGAATAGCAAAGCCATCCAAATTCAAAATAAGCTGACACCTTATGAAGAATAAGGGCCTAGGTTAAGATAGTTTAAAACTCCACAGCACGCTCCAGAGGTTAAGTGTATTGTGGCTTTTCTGCTGTTGCCTCATAAGCGATGAACCCGAAACACAGTTTTGCAGTGTTTTTTTCTTGTCTTGTTTTCCTCCAATTGATAAATGCAATGCATCCACTGAGAATCTGAAAGCAGTATGAAATCATATCAGAAATACAGGATTTGGTTCCATTTACCTGTTCCTGTTGCTGGAAATCCAATCTGAAATAAGTGTCGATGCTTGTTGGTGACAGTGCTTGTTGCCAAAACTGCACGCCAGCATTATGACTTCTCTCCGGAGTTCTCTAGGTACCATCCAAGGGAAAAACAGTGAAAAAGCAGTGTTAATATCTGGGGAGGAGGGGTCATTCATTACATAAGCAGTAGATAAATAATCAGCACAAAAATGATTTCCCGATACAGAAATCCTATTTTGCTGAGGAAGAGATGGTTAGGCAGAGGAGAAGCTCAGCATACTACAAGTCTTCTCTGGAAACAGTAATACAGTTGGGGGGGTCAGGGGGCTGGGTTCAAATCTCCCCTTTACCAATAACGGCAGATCTTACACTGAAACGTGGCAAGGATATGCTTTTGTTCTCAGTACCAGGTAGTGGAATCTGTTCTACCCATCAGCAGGCCTCCCAGCAAAGGGAAATGAAAGATGCAGAATGAAAGAAAGATCATCTCATGCTGCCAAAGTCTCAATGGTACTACTCGTATGTTATTGTACAGCTCTGGGGGAAAAGAAGCGAATAAGAAGATAAAACAGTACTCATGTTGGTAGGAGGCTTGAACAAGAGATCCATTAAAATTGTTTTTTGGCCATCCAATCTTGATGTACGTAGCTGCAACTTGCTTTAAAATATATTCCTAAATGGGGGTTAGAAGAAATAAAGATGTTAGTTTCAAACCTCTCCACGCTGATCATTACAATTACATAATACGATTAAAATATTTTTGAAATGCACCTACTTTAAAATATCAGTAAAATTATGGGCATGGTAAATCCTCTAATTTTATCCAGCTCAGTGTTTCAAATATAGAAAATAAGGATAAAATAAAATTGCAATGGGGGAAGTCTACTCTTTACTTCCTATTGAATGATTAAGTAATTTGCACTATTCACTATTTTAGATGACAATTTTTGTAGCAAAACAAGGACACTGAAGAATAGTGAAAATGACAGCCATGCACACAAATATACAAATGTATGTAGATATAGCTTATGGAAAATAAGCACCTAACATTCATGCATTTCACATCAATAGAGCACATTTAAAGCAAAACTGTTATGTAAGCCCAGCCACTAGCCTAACATTGTTGAATCTGACACACACAGAACACTCTTCAGTAAAAAATATGGCATTTCAAAGTCAACAATCCATTGAGCTAATGATATATTTAAATATTAGCAGCAATGTAAAATATGCTTTCCTCACTTTAACATGGTCCTTGAATTTTGTCAAAGGAATGAAAGCACTGAAATTACAGTAAAAGCAATTCTTAACTTTTACTGAAATTGAGGTGTCTGACACAAAATACTGTTCCAAAGTACAAATATATATAAAAATGTATTTTACTTTTACAGAAGTTTAACATTGCAGTGTCTCTGTTAAGGAGAAAAGAGAAGTGGGATAAGTCTTTCTCTAGCAGAGAAAAGTTACACCTGAACTGTAATGATCCATTTTTTTGCATGTCTGTTGTCAGGGATTAGACCAAGCTAATGACAATGAACAGTCAAGCCAGGATTATTCCAATTAAAAAAAATATCAAAACAGAGGTGTTTGCATGCAGACTTGGAATAAGGAAACAAGAAGCAACTCCGATGGCCATCAGACAATGTAGAGGGGGCTAAGAAACAGATTTCATGCCATTGCAATCCAGTCTCGAGTAATTAGTGGAGGTTAATTAGCAGAGCCAGTGTGCCATAAGACATAGGATGATTTTATAAAACACAGGGCAGACTCCTAAGATAACTGAAGGGAACCAAACAGGGCTCAAAGGTGGGACAGAAGGCACAGAGACCCAGCCTCACTGGGGATAGGAAATTTAGGAATCAAAAGCTCCTTAGCCATACTTAATCCTAATCTTATTCAAAATGGTTATTAAATTAGATTAGGTGGTGTCCACTGTGCAGCGCTGGCTTACCAGACTTCAGCTTAGGAAATCTGGTCAGGTAACATTTTGGAATGTTTGTCATATGTCTTTGCCTTCTATGTCTTTGTGTCTATTTGGATTATCTATTGTTTGCTCTCCTGTATCCCCTTGGACCCAATTATGAATGGGCTCTCACCTCAATGTTGATCTTATCCTTGTTAATTAAGGAAGTGAATTGAATTCACTATGCCCTTTTGGATAAAAATAATGACTAAGAATCTTTACTGAAACTGTCTATATTCTGTTAAGATCTTTGGGATCCCTCTACCCGGGTTAAGTCCTTTGTGAACACAGAGCCCTTTAACACTTGGAAAGTAAGTTTGAACTTTAAGGATTTGCCATGTATATTTGTTCTTAAATTCTGAGGCATTTAAGCTTAATTGACACTTTTAGGCCAGAATAAAAAGTAGCTCGTATTACATTTCTTCTTCAAGTAATTGTCATCAGTGTTGCACAGAAAATCAGGACAAAAAGGATAATACAAATTAGAAGAAGAAACACAAACAACCCAGGATCAGTTGCATAAAGTGGATAATGAGAAAACAGTTCATCAACTGAAAATAAGAAAGAAGAAAATATGTCTTTTTACATTGAAGACATTGTATTTCTCCATGCGATCCAGTAATTTATCAAGGGGATAAAGAGCTCGGCTGGCAGCATGCCAAGGAAGAAAATCCTTCTCCTCAGACAGGTATCTGATAATCTCCAGGGGAATATGCTGAGGCAAATAGCCGGCTCTGCACAGTCAAAAAAGTTAATGTTAATTATATGCAGAAAATATACATGATGATGCAAAAATGAACATTTTACTTATGCAAATAAAAGGCAGAAAGCAAGATTCATCATAGTATAAAGAAGCCATACTCAGTGCTATAAAAATAAAATTACTCACTTTTTAAATATAGTCCTACTTAAGATGCCATGTGCCTTAATATATACAGAGTTAGAGAGTTAAAAATTTACATACACAAAAATATCAGAATGCATATATTTTAAAAGGAAAGAATTCCCGAATTTGAATAAAATCAACTCTAAGTATTTTCCTTCACAGAAACTCTTCCGAAGTCACATGTAATTGAAAATAACTGATTACTAAAAGTTTCAGTTTCTCAATGCATTCTCTTTGCTCTTTGTGTAGTTCTGTGTAATAATATTTAATGCAGATTGTTTTCAAAAGAACAATCAAACTCAAGAGGCAACTTACAGGTTTTGACTGTATCTATGTCATATTACAATTTGAACATTTTTCAAAAGAAATGGTTTCCATAACATCTATGAAAATCTCAGTTAGATTTTAATAGACTCCAAATTCCCAAAAAGTTGAAAGAACAGGCTCTTCCCATTTATTATTTTTCTTTCAAAATAGATGCTGTGTCACCTTGGGGACCAAAGTCAGATTCTTTGGAGAATATGAAACTGTAGCTTTTTAAAATGATCTGAACACATGTTGCCCATATTTAAAGAGGGTATATCCAAAAACGGATCCAAAAAGTAGTGTCTATCTCTACTCTCCAGGAGACTGCATATAAAATCCTTGCAAATCAAAGCAATATAAATGACAATCCACAGTACATTAAAAGATGGTCTGTCTCAGCCTCGATGTCCCTGATGCATACACATCGTGACACTATATGTTTTGCTGGATTTTTTTTTTTTTACATGAATAATCAACTGCATGCAGACTTCTAATGCGGGGACCAGCTAAATATGAAAGCAACCAAAGCCTGCTTATCTCCTTTATCTACCTTTCACACTGTTGTTCTTTTGTAACATCACAAAATTAGATGGGCCTTTTAATTTGTGCTTGGTGGACAGGCAGGGAGCAAACAAAGCCTTGTCTCATTTTCACCTAAAATAAGTTTGCCAGATTATCTAATTCTTACTCACTGTGACAAGCAAAAATTACTCTACGGTAAACTTGCAGCCATGTTTAGATGTTCATAAGAAAAACCAATTCTGAAGATTATGTTTGAGTTTTCTTTAAATTAAAAAAAAAAAAGATGTGTGTCACTCTACCGATTTTGGTTCACTCATGGTGTAAGATCAACTATCGGTCACAGTTAATGCCTGCTATAAATACGAATGGCGAGAATCACCCCAAATTTCCACATAATTTCAAAATTTCCTAAAGCTTGTATGATTTAGACTACATCTAGACTTGTGCCACTTTTCCTGTACCATTGCCATTTTAAACATCCTTGCAGAAAAAGTATGATATTAGAATATGGCAATGACAATTAAATAAGGAATTTTATCTTTGTGGCTAGGGTAGCATAGCATCTCAATAACACAGTTACAATTACTTTTAAGAGTTTGCTACCCACTGGGGTGCTTGGGTGGCTCAGTGGTTAAGTGTCTACCTTTGGCTCAGGTTGTGATCCTGGCTCCCCCCATCCCCAATCGGGCTCCCAGCTCAGCGGGAAGTCCGCTTGTCCCTCTCCTTCTGACCCCCCACCTCACACATGCACTCTCTCTCTCTAACAAATAAATATTTTAAAAAATATTATATTGCCTTTTTAGTGGGTAGCAAACTTTTTTTTTTAAAGATTTTATTTATTTGAGTGAGAGAGAGAGCATGCAGGGCACAAGGGGAGAGCAGAGGGAGACAGAGAAGCAGACTCCCCCCTGAGCAGGGAGCCCCAGCAGGACCTCAATCCCAGGACCCTGAGATCATGACCTGAGCCTAAGGCAGACACTTAACTGACTGAGCCACACAGGCACAGGGCAATATAATTTTTTAATAAAAATAATGATTTGGCTTTCCCTCCTAAAAGAAACATACCTTTCAATATTTCAGATTTTGTCATTTGTTTCCCCTGAACTTTTAATTCTAAATACTAATTGGAATGGTGATCATAAATTTCTCCTCTACATGCCATGGATTATATAATTTTAGAGTTATAGAAGATTTATCTAGAAGCCATTATTCTTTTGTTGAAGAAATAAGAAAAATGATGCAGTAAAAAAAACAACAAAAAAAACCTTGAGTGAGTAGCTAACTTATTATGGGTCTTCAAGTAAGTTTGGAAAATCTAGAAAGGTATGGGATCTATTTTATTGCAGATTTAAACATACTAGCCTTACGTCAGTTACAATGTATTGTGCTTTGCTTCTTTCCTGTAAATAGATGGACATTATTCAATGATTTATGCTTTGTAGGAAATGTGACGACAGAAGATGACTAATCATGTTATGGAAGAGACTTGGATTTGAGAAAGAGTTGGGATCTACTAATACTTCCCATAGAATTAAACAAATTCATCTTGCCAAGCCTCACATTCCTTATCTATGAAATAAGAGGGTTGAAAAAGAAGACCTCTTTCTTAGCCCCCAAAACTTTTTATCCTAACCTACTTGTCTACAATTTCAACTGCGACAAATATTACAATAATATGGTCATACTTTATTTGTTTAAAAATTTGAAAAAATACTTTGTAATCTTTTTATTCCCCGTTCTTCAGTTGTTTAATATGTGTAAGTCTCAGAGGCAGGGTTTGGATATAGGTTTTAGAAGATATCTGACAGAGTGTAAAGAAAATAAAAGCAGGGATGCCTGGGTGGCTCAGTCGTTAAGCATCTGCCTTTGGCTCAGGTCATGATCCCAGGGTCCTGGGATAGAGTCCCACATCGGGCTCCCTGCTTCTCCCCCTGCCTGCAGCTCCCCCTGCTTGTGCTCTCTCTCTTTCTGTCAAATAAATAAATAAAATCGTTAAAAAAGAAAGAAAAGAAAAAAAAGAAAAGTAAGCGGACAGAAGTTCCAAATAATGACAAGCCAAGGAAAGTATTCATTAAATAGGGAAAGAGAGCAAGTTCTGTTTTGAGTACTTATGGTAAAAATTGCTAACTGCTCACCAAAAATCCATGCTTTCCTCTACTTCCTAGGAGAGATTATAATTCCCACTTTTTTGGTCGTTAGGTGTGGTCATGTGACTAGCCAATAATGCATGAATGCTCATTACTGCCAGGGTTAGCCCATAGACCTCTCCCATTAGCTCCCCAATATTCTTTTTCCCTGAAGTGAATCTTTCAGGGTGACCTTGGAACTCTGTACTGAATATGTCAGAAACCCACCTGGGTCTCTGGATGACTGCACGCCCATGTACTAGTTCTCACACCAGTTCTATTACGTAAGCAGGAAAAACACTTCTATCGTGTTTGATCCAAATACATGCTTGGGTCTATTTTTTAAAGCAGTTAACCTTCTCTAATGCAGCCCTCAAATAGAATAAGAAACAGATTACATTCAAATTGCTCTCATTTGTGTTGTTACAAACATATGTAAGTAATTACCTACTACATAATTCAATACACTCACATTTAGCCTACTAGATCAAAATATGTAGCTACACTCAATTGGACAAGATGATCAGCTTCATTACAAAATTAAGACTTGTAAGAGATAATGTTGGTGAATAAGTTACCTATTTTAGATATGTGTTTGTGTAATTGGCTGGTAATGATATCTGTGATTACTACTACTGATAATGCAATCAATATGGGGGAAGTGTGTGGAATCCAATAATGGAACACTACATTAGCTCCAAGTAATCAGCCCAGTAGGGAGCACATTTAGGGTCCCGATGCCCAAATGCAGTTGCCCTAGATTTACATCATCACAGAGAAATGTTGCTAACGAAATAGGGGGAAAAATAGCAAATTTAAATAATATTTCATGTACAGCTAAGTGTGTTTTATTAATATTTTAGAAAGAGGTTGTAGATGATATCTATCTTCTGTACTAATGGGGTATAGGTTGGCATAAGCAATAATTTAGGGGGGACACCTGGGAGACTCAGTGAGTTAAGCGTCCGACTCGTAATTTCAGTTCAGGTCAGCGGGGAGTCTGCTTGAGATTCTCTCTCCCCCTCTGTCTCTGCCCCTCCCCCCACTTGCACACACTCTCTCTCTCTCTAAAATAACTAAATAAATAAATAAATAAATCTTTTTTAAAAAAAAGAAATAATTTAGGAATCAAAGAAAAGATAATGGGGAAATGAAACAAATGAGGAAAGTTAAAGAAATAGATAAAAGATTGCCCACTGGCACCACTCCCCCTCCCTAAACACACACATACCCTCGTCTCCTTCAATTTACTGGAGCTTGCAATGAAATATATCTTCAGGCATACAAGAGAGTATTTTTTATAAGAAGATTAAAACCACACAATATTAGCTGATATTGAAATGCACTGATCTTAGCTGGCTTTGTTCTCACCTAAGATCCAAAACTACTATTTAAAAACTGCTCTGAATTCTGTGAATGTTAACTCTCGAATCTACTGAGATGGGTGGCTTGCACACAAATAACCTATTTTATGTGAATTTCCTTGAAAAGCATTTGGCTTCTGGGTGCTTGAAACTCGGAAAAAAATAAAAAGCACAATCAGACTCTTCAGAGCATCATACTCCAGGTTTCACTAATGGAATATTCATTTAAAACCAATAAATCACCTACTACATATTTCACAATATGTCCAGGAGACATTATATCTCTCCTTTAGGGTACAGATTTTTAAAGCAATTGCTAACATGCTTAATTTAAAAGTTTACTATTTTATCTATTATCTTTTGTTATTCATTGTTAAAGACTTTTATGTGTTCTTTGTGGGAAGATCCTATGGTGGAGACTGGAAACTCCAGTAGTCCTCAGAGTACCATAGACTAAAAAGGGAAATACACAGGGAAGGTATCTCTGTCAACAGTCTATTTGGTCAGGTCATAGAAAAACTAAAGCTATG